TTAAAAAAACATCCCATTTGTTTGGTGTTTTTATTTAGTAGGGCCATGCAAATCATACAAAGCATGTGGAAGTAGCTCCTGAAGCAGCTACATCAGCTTTGGACAAAGATGTGACAGTGGAGTCCTTGGTGGTCTCTGAGCTTGGTTGTTTGCTTGCAGACATTTCATTACCTGACTAGGTAACATCATCAGCGGTAGCAAACATTTGCAAGCAAACAACCAAGCTCAGAGACCACCAAGGACTCCACAGTTCAACCCTGAGCTACATATATACTCTCTTCTATTGAAAGATATGACTGTTTTAAAGGTTTTGAAGGTTCAAACAGAGGTGCTTCATACACACTTCCATGTATTTCCAAAACTCCTCTTTTGAAGGATTTACACAGTCATAGTATTTAGTTGTGAAAGAGAGAGAGAATAAGAGGCTAACAGTATTCTTCTTCCATTTATTGTATAATGATTTCTAATTAGTAATGTAAAAAAGAAAAGAAAATGGATGTATGACTTTTTAAGAGAGAATCAATGGAGGGGTTGTCTTCTGCATGGTAAAATGGCTTTCAGATGATGACTATCTTAATCTTTGCAATCAGAACAACAAAATTTGTAGGAGCTTAATGATTACTGAACTGATTAGCACACAAAGTCATGGTTCATTTGAACAGAGAGAGCAATGGAATTGATTCATAGGGAAATGTGATTGAAATCATAGCGAAATAGTGGCCACTCTTATATATGGGCCTTGTGAATTTCATCACATGCACCACTCGCAATTGTACCTCTTGAAAATAGTTCATACTGTTGAAGTGAATAAAATCCACAGAATTCCATAATAAACTCTTTGTATTTAAGCTGCCAGAAGTTTTTAATGTCAATGATTCTTCTATCTTAGCAGTAACTAATCTTTTTCAAAAGTACTGCTATGATGAAGAGAAAAGATGCAAAGCCTTTTTGTTTCTTGCAGAGGAAACTATCTGAGTCTCAGAATAACATGATCTGCACCCTTGAGGAAGATGAAAGTGTTGGGAAGGAAGTGCTGGTTGAAAACTCCTACAAAAGTGTGACTTCCAGCCCACAGGAATGGACTGAGAGCAGAGTTTCATCCAGTATGGTCTCCTCTGAGCTTCAGCTTAATTTGAGTCACCCAGATGAAAAGTCTTACATGTCACACTCCACTTCTGTGATGGATTCACATTCCTGTGAGAACTCTTCAGAGGACTGCCAATCTGCCCAGGGATTAATACATACTCTAAGGCTATCTTCAGCTTCCAACCTCAAAGAAAGTATTCCTACTCCACAGCATGAAAAAGAGCACTGTGAAACTTTAGAGATGCAGCCTAAGAATTTAAGTGATGTGCCCCTAAGTATTTTAAACCAAGAAAATAAACAGATTTCTGATATTTCATCAAAAAATGACATGAGAACTGCTAAGAACGTCTCTGCCAAAAATTATTGGATTGCTGAATCAGATGAATCAGAAAAAAAGTCACTGAAAGATGCTAAGGAACTTTTGGAAAGTGTTTCTAATAAGGAAGCTACAAAGGGATCTTCTTTATTGCCCAATTCCATAATTTGTTTATCCCCAAATCCTTCCCAGCTTCTAGATTTACTCCACCCAGAGAATAGTAGTATTTCCCAGGCTTCATGCAAAGTTTCTTCGATTCAAGGCAAAATGAAAGCAACTCGAGAGAAACCAGAATCTAATGATGAAAAACATCTCCCACCTGTATCTGATGGTATATTGGGAGGGAAAGCAGAGAAAGAAGCCAGTGACCTTTGTGGCTTGAGAAAGTTTTCAGTGTCATCAGCCCGGTGGAGATCTAGATCTAACAGCCTGAACATGAAGGACACTTCAGAGTGTGAGAAGCCTCCTACCATGCAGGTAAATTTCTCCATAAATAGTGAAAAGATGAAGAATGTGGATATGAACTCTTCACAAGAGAAAAAAAGGTACATTAATAAACAGAAATCCTCATTACAGTCAGAATCTGAAATTCCTGGTAGAGCATTAGACTCAATGACTATTGCATCACCGGCTTTGGGTTCAAAACCAGCACTGAGCAACTCATTTGGTAATCTTCTGCAGCTGTCAAGTCTGGGCCATTCAAGCTGTGAGGGCCAGAATCCCTTTCAAGTCAAACTTAGGTCCACATCTTTATCACTGAAACACAGAGACATTGCACAGGAATCAAAGGAATTGAAAGGAGATAATGCTGAACTTAATTTAGAAAAAGAGGAGATGATTTTATCTTCACTGAAAGTTGAAAAAGGAGAAATCAGAAACACAACTGATGGAAATGTCACTGATTTGTTCAATGAAAGCTTCAAAGCTAAATTAAAGTCCTCTGAACAGGGCAGCACAAAACCTCCACTGCCTAGAAAACCTGTTTTGCAGCACTTCAGTATGGCCAGCATTAACACAAGCACAGAAAGGCAGGAAAAGATAACCAAATATCCAGAATTTAAAACTGAAGGCAGAAATGTGGAAAAGAAGCAGAATCTCTCTGAAGTGCCTGGTAAGACTTTGTTATTTATTTATTTTTTTGCATATATGAATGTATGTATCTATCTCTACAAAAGCAAAGGGTAGAGGAAGGTATATTTATAAAAGTCAATTGTATCAATTTTCATACTGCATTAATATTTAATAAAATAGAGAAGAACACTGATTTAAGGAGAGTGTAGTCACACATTGCATTAAACCACAATTAATAGCATGATATATGTCATTTATTCAGCAAACCATGGTTTAGTGCAATGGATGAATCCAGAGTGTCACTAGATTTTGAGAGAAATGATATCAATGATATAAAAATCTCCATTACCTCCCCTTAGGTGAAAATCCCTTCTGAAAGCATGAGGAAATTCTGGACACTTAGATCATATTTTCAAGTTTTTAAAAAAACTATGTTGAAATCTGCCTTCCAATATCCTGAAAGTTTGTTCCTCTGAGAAGATTTCTGTTCTTGCTGTTTTTACCTCATCCTTGGGGTTCTGCAGAATCTTCTCTGAGGATACTGATTTTAAGTGAATTTAATTGTTGGAAGTGCTGTTGTTTTTCAGTTCAGTATATCTCCTCATCACTCCACAGATATTTTAACTGTCCATCCTAATTTGGAAAATCCCTAGGAGGCATTATTTTATGATGTCTTCCATTGGGATTTAACTGAAATTTGGACAGCAGGTGGGTGGGACATGAACATTATGAAGGGACAAAACTTACACTGACAGTGCACACATAGCTACACACTCCAGCCATCTCATAACCAAGGTAATATACAATACTCAGTTATTCCTATTTGATCCTTCCTATTTGTGGATGTGGCTAACATCCTGGATAGTGTCACGCATGATTTGTTTAGAATAAACCATGACTTATAGTTGTAGCTAGTTAGAAGGGAAACAAACCAGCATTCATGTTTTCAAATAACTGGAATTAAATATAGAGAGAACTGGCCAAGTTTGTTAGCCAAGTCTGCTAATAGTAGGAGCCACCTGGAAACAAATACATATCATATCAAGCAAAAATATATTGGTTGTTACAAGTTTGTTTATGAGTGTTACTCAAGGCCACTTCCTGTAAAATATCATTTTGCAATGGATATGTGTGACTTGGTGAAATATCCAGTTACCACAATTATAATAGTCTTTTCCAATAAAATATGTTACAACAGTAGGTACATTATTTCTTTGGGAGAAAGCAGAAAGCAATAATATCATAATGAATTGTAACAGTTGTAGCTGGGGAAATTTAGGATAAAAAATAAGGAGTAAAACCTGTGTTAAAAGAAGCACAAAATTAGCCATATGAAATAAAAGGAAGAAGAAAAATGTTTTGAAATTGATGCTTGGCCATCAAGTTTAACTGCATTTGCAGGATGATGAGAGTAAGTAGGGAGAAAAGCAAAGGTCATTGTGCATTTCATTGGCTGAATAACAAAATGGCATTTTGGGAAGATGTCAGTATGAGGAGAAATTTTAAAAAAAGGATCATTGAAAGGGTACATGACATTTGCTTGATTGATTGGAGTAACCCATGTCTGGGGGCATAGATAAGACTAATTAAGCTTCTTGTCTTTGGAATATATTTGTCAACATCAAGGTATTTAGCCGAGCACACAGATTAAATTAAGGTTCATGGTTCCCTTTAGCCCAAAGGAGCACTTAAATTCTTTTTTAGGAATCAGATTAGCAGAGTGAGTCCCTTTAACAATACTTGCTGATCATCTCCTGACTCTGCCTGACTATTGAACTCTTTATCTCTGGCTACACAGTTCCTGGGTCAATAAAAAAAGTTCTCATAAAATCCAAGCTTCAACTTGTGATCCAATAAAGCTTTAAAAGGAATTATCTCTACCTAGCATGGAATGAGAGAGAGAGAGATTATGTCTCATCAAGTTGGTTACAACTCTTGGTAACCACATAGATGGACTTTCTCCAAGATGATCTGTCCCCAGCCTTTAACCTTCAGGCCTTCCAATGGTGTACTCATCACTGCTGTAATTGAGTCCATCCATCTTAATGCTAGTTGTCCTCTTCTCATTCCACGTTTTCCAGATTATAGACTACTCAAGAGCTAGTTCTTCACATAATGTGTCCAAAATATACTAATTTGACCCTGGTAATTTGTGCCTCAAGAGAGAACTCTTGAGTTGATTTGTTCTGTGATCCTTTTGTTTGTTTCCTTGGCTATCTGTGGTATTTGCAGGAGATTTACCAATACCAAAGTTCAAAAGTGTCAGTACTTTTTCTGCCTCACTCCTTCAAAGTCCAACTTTTGCTTCCATAAAGTATCACAGGAAAAACTATTGTCTGCACAATTCTGATCTTTGTGGGTATAATCAGATCATGGCATTTGAATATCTTTTCCAAGCCTTTCATTTCTACCCAATGAAGTGCTAGTCTGTGGTGTATTTTTGATTGTTGGTTCCTTTATTGTTAATAGTTGATCCTAAAAGGCAAAGCTATAGCTGTTTTCATTAGTTTGGTCATCTTTATATTTTCAGTTTTTCCACTACAGGTAGTCCTTGCCTAACAACTACAATTGGGACTGGAATCTCTGGTTGTTGAGTAAAGCTGTCATTAAGCAAGAAGCCCACTTGACTGCTTCACTCAACGACTGCAATCTGGGCACTCCTGGGTGTGGTTGTTAAGCAATCTCCTGGGTCATTAAGTGGACAGAGCGAAAGTTGTCTGCTGAAGGATTTCAGCTCCGCATGTAGCTGAAATCCTTCAGCAGACAGCCCTTTCACTCCGTCCTCTTTCCCCTCCCCTCTCTGTGGTGAGCAGAGCACTTGAAGATTTGAAGTGTGCCTGCCCACTGCTGAAAGGGGAAACCTCCCAGTACCAGGCAGTTATGGAGCTCAAATCTTCAGGATTTGAGGTCTGTTCTTTCACATTGCTGAAACCTCCCAGCGGTGTGAAGGAACAGAGCGCAAATCCTGAAGATCTGAGCTCCATAACTGCTCACTGCTGAAAGGGGAGGGGAAACCTCCCAGTGCTAGGCAGTTATGAAGCTCAAATCCTGAAGATTTGAACTCCATTCGTTCACACCATCACATCCCCTCCATCTGCAACCTTTCAATGGGGCTGCGTCCCCTCCACCTGCAACCCCTCCACCTGCAACGATAGGGAAGCCAGCAGAGAAGATTGCAAATGGTGATCACATGATTGCGGAGTGCTTGGCAACTGGTTGTAAATGCGAATCAGTTGCCAAGCACCTGAAATGCAACCACATGGCTGGGGGGGGGGGCACAACATTTTACAATGGCTGGAAATAAAGACTGTAAAGCACCCTTTCTGAGGCCGTCGTAATTTCAAACTGTCGTTAAACGGTCATTAAGCGTATGATCCTTGATCTTCATAACTACAGCTTGCAGAACATTTGCATTTTCAGGTATTAGAGTAGTGTCATGAGCATAATTCAGATGATTGATGTTTCTTCCTCTAGTTTTAAAACCATGCTCATCTTCTTCCAATCCAGCCTCCCTCAATATATATACAGCATATAGTTGGATAAATAAGGAAGGAGCCTTATACAGCCTTGTCTCAGTCCTTTGCTGACCTGGAGCCAATCTGTTTCGCTAAGTTCCATCCAAATTGTGACTTCCTAACCAATGTCTAAACTTTGCAGAAGGGCAATGAGATATTCTGGGATTCCTGTTTTTCTAAGCACATTCCACACCTTAACAAGGTTGATACAATTGAAGACCTTTCTATAATCAGTGAAGCACATACTGACATTTTTTGTATTCTCTGGCTTTCTTAATTATCCAGCATGCATCAGCAATAATGTCTCTTGTCCTTGGCATTTCCTAAAATCTTCATGAACATCTGGCATCTCCCTTTCAATGTTAAGCTAATCTGCATTGGATGATTCTAAGCATTACAAGTAGACCTCGCTTAACAACTGGCCTGTTTAGTGGCTACGACAGTGCTGAAAAAGTAACTTTATGACCGGTCCTTGCACTTATGACCATTGCAATGTCCCTGCAGTCATGCAATCAAGATTCGGGCACATCGCAACTGGTGGGTGTTTAGAACCCCTGCAGTGTCTCACGGTCATGTGATTGCCATTTGCATGCTTCACAGCTGGCTTCTGACAAGCAGAGTCAATGGAGAAGCTGGGAGTAAAATTGCAAGGTGTGGTCACGTGATGTCTGTCTTAATGACCGCAGGTGATTTGCTTAATGACCGCAATGGAAATGAGATTGTAAGCCCACTGCTGTCATGTGATGCCTCACTTAACAACCACATTGCTTAGCAGCAGAGTTGACAGTCCTAATTGTGGTTGTTAAGCAAGGACTACCTGTAGTTTGGTAGCATGTGAAATTAAGAATATTGGACACTCATTTATGCCCTCTGTTAAGTCTCCTTTCTTTGGTATTGGTATGTATAATGACCTCCATCTATTGTTACACATGGTCCCAGGTTCAGCTTACAGTCACTTACACACTCACAGCCTGTTGACGCTCACGGATCTTGTAAGTCCCCCTTGCTTTCTACCTGGGTTTTCCAGATAGGTAAGACTAGACTAGACAAGACACACAGCCCTGGTCAACAGCCTGGAAATAATTAGGGATACACACAAATCACTTTCAACCAAACACTGAGGCACATCAAGTTCTTTGGAATACAGGGAGACCTGGTGAACTTAAAGTAACAGCAAAACTTTATTGATTACAATGTACATTTGCTCTTACACACACACGCACGCATCCACACTTACCCACATCTTTCTCAACTAGGCTGCTAGGCGCTAGCTAGAGGGATGGAAGCCACCAAGTCTGGATCCAAAAATGACTTAAGGAATGGGTGGGCTTCAGGACCCCTTTTAATCCCCAAAACCTCTTGCTTTGTTGATTAGCTGGAATTGGGGGGGTTCCCATGTGCTGAGGCCCACTTCCTTTGTCTGGCTCAGGTGACACTTTTCCTTTGTTTCCTTAATAACTCGTTTCCTTCTTATCTACCTCCCTGAAGGGATCTTTTAGATAAGATTCCTGGCTTTTTCCCTCTC